CAAGTCGCCTTTCTCAGCTTCCTGGTTTCTGCCTGTAAAATGAGTGGGTGGGATGATCCTTAGAATTTCTTCTGGTTCTAATATTCTAAGATTCTTTAAGTCTACATCTATAGCAGTGTGGAAACCTTTTTTTTGTTCACTGTGAGCACTGTAATTTACCCACCCTTGTGCTGTCAGAGTATTCCCAGGTATCTGTGAGCATATCTTCACAAGCAGTAGTGTTTACTGTGCAATTTTGTTTACAGGAAGAGATTAAGTGGTGCAGTTCACATGTGTGATTACTGTGTATATGTGTGCAGATGTTTGTCCACACCTGTTTTTCATCCTCTCAACCACAAATGAATTTTGTTGTTTGAGCATTTGAATGATTCAAGAGTTAAGTGACCAGAACTGTGGACATATCCATAGAAGGGGACAATTAGCCATCATACATAGATTTTTAACATGAAAGTGAATTTCTGCTCTGTGTACTTCGGCCATCTTGTTCTCTACAGAACTGGGAAAGTTGTCATTGTGGTTTACTAAATGGAAAAATTCTGTCAGGAGATTTAAAAGGGTGCTAGATGCTCAATTCGTGCCTTTAATAAACATATTGATTTCCTACTGCTAGGTTCTATCTAGGGAAGCAAATAGGAGTGAGAACTGGCCCCTGCTCCAATATCAGACATGGAAGCAAACGGCTAATACAGTGTGGGGAGCTCTTTAATAGAAGCTACAGATGGCTTTTATGGAAATAGGCAGACATCTGTGTTTAAAATGCAGATGTGGTTTGGCTAATACTGGACCAGCCCCTTTTCTAAACTGGTGGCAGTTCCCCTCACTCCAGTGGCATGGGCTTCGTTAATACCCTGAACAAATGCTGGCTTTCCCCTTCTCACTGTATGGGTACAAAACCTGATATTATTTCTTTGGTTAAAGGGAAGAAACTCCAGATGAATATGCACAAATAATTAAGAGATATATACCTAAAGTATAGCTGTTGATTTGATGATTTAATGTAAATGAATTTCAAATTAGTTTCATCTTTAGTCAGTTTTGGGGGAGATTTAAAGTATTTCATCCTGTAGCATTGAAGGCATATAAGAAGTTTTATCCACAAAATTGTGATTATTTGCTTTTTTTAGAGAGATTGTTGGATTTGAACTCAGACTACCTGGCATCTGATGCTGAGGAGTTCCTGCCATACCCTGCCACCTTTTTCAGTAACTTTATAATGACTTAAGATTTCTGTTAACATATGTAATCCATATACTGGCAATCCTTCCCTAAATTCATGATGACTTTTTAAGACCTAGGCCACAGGTACTTGAGACTTGTCTATGATAGATCTTCTCACTAAGATGTAAAATACGGTAATTGAGAATTACGTGCTTCAATCAAATGTCTTTTTTTTTTTCTTAGGGCTCACATAATAAAGTTGAAAACCATGTAAATGGATACTGAATGGTTTCTGATTGCTCTTAGAATACTCGCCTTCTCAGAAGTAGTGAAGCTAAGCAGAATTTCACCTTTATGTTTCCATTAGGTGTCCCCTGCACATACAAAAAAGGACCTGTTCGTATATCTAATGGAAATAAAATATGGACACTGAAGCTCTCTCATGCTATTTCAAATAAGACTCCACTTGTCCTCCTCCATGGTTTTGGAGGAGGTCTTGGACTCTGGGCACTGAATTTTGGAGATCTTTGCACCAACAGACCTGTCTATGCTTTTGACCTGCTGGGCTTTGGACGCAGTAGTAGACCCAGATTTGACAGTGATGCAGAAGAAGTAGAGAATCAGTTTGTGGAATCCATTGAAGAGTGGAGATGTGCCCTGGGATTGGAGAAAGTGATCTTGCTTGGACACAACCTGGGTGGGTTCCTGGCTGCTGCTTACTCACTGAAGTACCCATCAAGGTAAGTGGTGGTGACAGAAGAGGCACCCAAGTGCTAGTTTCCAGTTCCTATCTTTGGTGACAGTTGATGTTGAGCCTTATAATACAGACGTTGTCTTAAAGGGCCCTGTAGACCAAACAGCCACAACCGATGGCCACTTTAGTGGCAGAAATAATGATGTCAGGTTTTCCTATTATATATGCAAAACATAGGCTTGAAAAGACTTTCTATTTGTTAAATGTAGAATATATGTAATTTAAGCCACAAGTAAAAATTGTTGTGGTATTATTGTTTACTGTTGTTATTATTATCATTAGACTTGTGGATCCAGCAGGCATTTTCTAACCTCTTCCAGGTTTTAGTAAGCTGTAGTAGGAAACCAGAAGTTTAGAAATGAGAAGATGTAGGCGCTGGTGCTGTCTTTATGGCTTAGAGCAAATCACTTAATCTCTAAATTTTAGTTTCCTCACCTCTAAACTATAGAAAATACGCCTACATAGGATGTCGTATAGGGTTTTCTATTATACTGTGCCTTATTGCTATAGAATTATTTTTAAGAGTCACCAAATTAATGAGTGTTTGCTTCAGAATCTTTGTAGCATCTCCTCCTTTCTTTACCTTATTATCTTATGCTCTTTCTTGTTACTTATGTTGCTAATCTAAGGGGAGGTCATATTTGAGTGCTAAGAAAATAGAAGAAAAGCTTATTTTTGTTGTTTATCTTCTGGAAAGAAATAAAGAGTTCAACATTTTTTTGTTGCCTGCGTATTTTTCCATTGGACTAATGGACTAATCCAAAATTGCAGCTGACGTGGATGTTGAAATCTGTGAATGAAATGATGGTCATTTTTAAAGTTCATATGTGCACCTGTTAGGCTCCTCGTTGCATAACTCCAGGTGCGCTGTTGACTCAGAATTTGAGGTATGGAGCAACAGCCCTGTGTCCCTGAGGTCATCTTCCTCAGGAACAGCCAGCTGTATCTCTACAGATTCTTCACCTAAACTTCAGCATTTATAGGTAATTTTTTTCTGGAGCATTCACAGTCTTACTGTGCTAGACAATAAAACGGTCTTGTCAACTGTCAGATGTGTGCTTTCAAAAGAAGTCCAAATATTCTTCTGCTTGGCTTTTTGGAATTACTGTCTTTTATTGAGTCCTGCTCTCAGGGATAGACACCTAGCTGTATTTGTGGGGAAAGAATGAGAAGATTACTCTTCTGGTTTAACGCAACAGTGCTCTTTGTGGGGGTTGAGCTTCCTCTGTTTCCTATCCGGTATTTATTATGTCTGTCTTGTGGTAGTTAGTCCCTGGAGAAGTGACATGGGACTCTGTGGGCTAGACTCTGGTCATGAAACCCCGTCTTAGAATCCTGACCCTTCATGACTGTCTACTTACTGTTTAGGTCAGTTGGTGAGATTTTTATTTATAGTTAGGAAATGTTCCAAAGAAATAGGGGCTTCAGTGATTCAGAAGAGAATGACCATTTAAAAACTATAAAAGAGAATAGCAACATATTTTGAATGACATGGGGGCTGTGTGACTGGTGGGCAGAGAAGTTAATGAATTGATGGATTGATGACTCCAAATGGAGGCACAGACCCCACATTCCTTGCCCCAAAATGACTATTTCATTGCAGTTCTCTTACCTTGATGTGTCATAATTAGAGATGTCAACTGTAATTTTACTTGTAGATTAACGTGCTGCATCACAAACAGGACCACTGTGGGAGGTATCTTGGGCTTCCATTCTGTAAAATCTTCATCAAGCAGTGTCTGGTCACCTTAAGGTGGGAGCAGAGGCAGAGGAGAGTAAGCCGGCAGTAACAGCCAAGATGCCATCTCCTTTCTTTCATCCATTTGCTCAGTTTTCTTTTAATTTTCCTTTCCTGTTGGCCTCTGATGCTCAGGGCCTGATATAGAGACTCTCTATGTTTTATAGGTATTTGTTATGGACTAAGGGAAAGGACACTATGAAAACTTATATTAACCTAGAAAGTGTTAGGAAAGAGATCTGTTCCAGGTTACAAAAGAATAGGTTACAGCTGGTCTTTACTTCTCCGCTAAAAGGTTCTCAGATCATCTCACTTTTGACCTTGCCTGACTCTGTCTCCTTACTATGCATAGCTGGGCTGAGCATTTCTTATGAGCCCTTCTTGAAAAGAAAGGCTTGAAGTTGGAGGTATTTATTGCTCTGTGCCCCATTCTCCCTGCAGTGGCTTGGAGCCAATGGGAAATACCCGGGACTAACTTCATCTTGACAATGCCTCATTTGTGCACTGACTTGAGTTCTCTCTGGTCCTTTTCCTTCTCCTTTCTGTGTTCCATAGGAGGTTCTGTAGGCTTCTTTGTGCGTTTTAGTTCTGAATCTGGTTGTTCTTGTTGTATTATTTCTGACTGGTGGCTAACTTTAAATCTTGTGAAAGTCAGGTTTATATACCCTTGTTAGCATTTAGACTCAGCTCTCCCAGCATTGTTGGAGCAGGTGTTATCTACATCTTTGTCCCTGTAGGCTGTAATCTGCACACCATCATCACACTCACAACCTACTCTAATGGCTCACCTGGAGAAGAATGTTTCTTTATGTTTCAAAACTGACGGACTGTTTTCTTGTTCCTGTTTTGCTGGTTCTTTGTTTTTCCTGTAGTTTGCATCAGCCTCAGATTCTTTGATAAAGATATCTGATAGGATGACTTATGTACACTCTCTGGCTAGTCCCATACCTTAAGCCTAGATGTGAACCAACAATCCCAGCAGGATTCCCTCTATGGAATGTTAGAGGGTGTGGTCTGGGTCACCGTAAGAGTTTAGTTAGACCTTTATGTCCTTATAGACAAGGACCAAAAGGAAGCTGGAAAAGTACAACACTCCAGATGTTTGCTGAGCATCTGTCTACCATGTGCCAGGCTGAGGACATAGGATCGAACAAATGTTGAGGCAGTTTACTCCCTTTCAAAACAAAATTATCTGCTCTAGTCCATATACTTTGCATAACCTGTTAAAATTTCGAAGATCCACAGTAAACAAGGCAAGCCAAAACAAAGGCAAAAACACTACAGCCACTTAACTAGAGACAGATGAGACTTTCCTGCCCCTAGAGCAGACTGGGTGATATCCCTTAACACATTTGTAACAAAATTTAATCATCTTTTCAGGTAGAGTATGTTTTAATAAAGAGCTTATTTTTCTCTTTAGGTAAGTCAATAGTAAATAATACTGGCTGTTTTCCCAAACCAATCAATCTTTGCTGCTTTCATTAATTTCACTCATGCCTCTGGTGTGTGCGCCCTCCCGCCCCCAGTTCTCACTGTAGGTTGTCATAGGAGGAATTAGGAGGTAGTCAGAATGTCAGGGATAACTATCTCTGCCATTAAAAATACAACAAAAAAAATTCATTTTCATCCCCCTTGCTGTGCACTGCTAGAAAATAGTCTTATAAAACTTTTAAGCAGTGAAGGCGCTCCAGGTATATGGATCTCACATATGACATATCTCTACACAGATTTGTAGTTACATCCTACAAATCTTCTTGATGCTGTGAAATTTAGAGTGTAGTGTTAGGACTGGTCTAGAGTTGGTAAGAGTTAAGCTTTACCTTTACTTATGCTTTATGTCACTTGGAATGTATTCTGCCGATGGCTTGTTGGCATCTGTTAGTATACTGGAGGTGGGAAAGAAGGGTTTTAGCCCTAGTTCTGTATTATCTAGCTTTAGGTCCTGGAGCGAGTCACATAGAGCAGCTCAGCTTTCTTCTCATCTGTGAGGTGAAAGATTGGGCTGGGTATTCTCCAGGGGTCTGTGGAGCTCTGTGCTCTGAAGCTGTTTGAGAAAATGGAATCAAAACAAAGGACTCATTACTAACTCATCTTATCTGTGCTGATAAAAATAATAAAACATTTTTATACTGAGGATAATAGCTATCTAATCCCATGTTCTGATTTCTTTACCTTTCTATTTTGGTTATAACTTAGGAAAGGGACTTTAGAATCAGTGTCAGTTCATCCTTGGGAGATTTTTACTGGCATCGGTTGGCTATTTCCGCTACCATTGAATATCATCTTGTGTCAGGAGATTTATGTTTTGTTTAAGATCTCTGTGATGTGTGGTACCGTGAGGCAACCACAAGGAGGTTGTTCTGGTTTTCCCTCATCAGAAAGATGTTTTGTAAGATGAAAAAATTAAAATTATTAATGGTAAGGAACAATTTTATATGAGTTTGGACCGAAGGTTTTCTATCTCTTTGATCAGTAAAGAAGAAAATTAGGAAAGGATTCGGAACAGAATCTAATGCCAGTACATCATGATGTTATGGATAGGGCGAATGTGTTCCCATTCACCAAACTGGAATCCCATACTAGGGGGTATATTTTCAGCCCATATTTTTACGTTATCTTCGTGTTTGTAAAGGGTTCATTCAAAGTCTTTTCAAATCCATCTAAAGCCCTAATACCTCTTAAATTTTTAGAATGATTTGGTTCATAAGCATCTATTGTTGGTGATAACTATTGTTGGTGTCTGAATCTATTTTATGAGTGTAATATTAATCTCCAGTCATTTCTGCAGGTTCAGTCTTGAGATACATGGAACCGTTGGATTTTTCTGAGTGGTCAGTGATCTGTATCATCTGTCAGAGTGTAACTTAAACAACAACACACACTGTCTTTTCTTGTTTCTCAAGAATAACTGCAATTAGCATATACCCTTTCACACATCCGTTATTATCCACCTTTAGGTAGAGTAAAAGTGAAGCCCAGTTTCTACCACACACCTCAAATCCCACCAAATCTCATCATTTTACGAATAACAAGAGCATGATGTAACTTTTTTTCTCTTTAATGTAAGGTTTTTAAAGGTAGTTCATTCCACCTTGACTTCATAAATCATGTACAAGTTCTCTATAGTCCTGGGGTGAATTTGCCAAATGAACTGTTCTGTTCTTTCCTCAACAGGGTTAGTCATCTTATCTTAGTGGAGCCTTGGGGTTTTCCTGAGCGACCAGACCTTGCTGATCAAGAGAGACCAATTCCAGTTTGGATCAGAGCCTTGGGAGCAGCACTGACTCCCTTTAACCCTTTAGCTGGCCTCCGGATTGCAGGACCCTTTGGTGAGTGCTTGTATCCATATCCTAGGAAAGCAAACCATTTATAGATAGTGGTAGAGGAGTATTTGCTGATCACCTCTGTTAGTTAAAATCTGAAAAACAAACAAACAAAAAACCCTGGAACCTTACTTTTTCTCCTCCTCCTCCTCTAAAAAGTACCAGTCCATGCAGAAAGATGATGAATGAAACCAGACTCCAAGAGGAGTCTGTCTTGTAAACATTACAGACAATTAGCAAGCAGAGAAGGTGGGAAATGCTAAGGATTAGGGTAGGCAACCTTAAACGTTGTGAAAAAAAGCCAATCAAGCAGAGTATCTTGAGGAAGTTTATCCTCTAGCCCAGGGAATGGGAGGAAGTGACCTGCTGGGGCGCCTTTGGCCAGTGATGATACCTACCCGGCTGAGAAATCATAAAGCCTGACCTGATCGACAGCCAGAGGATAACAGTTACCATCACCCTTTCTTGCCTTATAATGTCAGAGTGTTCAGAAGATAAAGTCATCCTTTTCCACAAAGATTTGGAGACTCCTGATTTCTGTTTCCGGTCATATTTTGAGTTTAGTCTCTGATTTAAGTTCATTTGACTCTCAGCTCCTCTGTCAGCCCCATAGCCAAGGGGATTGCCTTCCCTTGTTGATGGTGATGGTCTGGACCTCTGCCTTTCCCTCTTACAGCTTGTCAGTTAGGAGTGCTTTTAGCCGAAAGTAACTGAAGATCTAAGCAGTTTAAACCATAAGGCCTTTTATTATTTCCTCAACAAGCAATCTGGAGGCAGGCGGTTTCAGCGTTGTTTTAGAAGCTGGCTCCTTGATGCTGGGGTTTGAGTCTGTCTGTGATTCCCTTGACCTTTTATGTCACAGTTGTTCAGTGGTTGCTATGGCAGGAAGCATCATCTCACAAAGCAGCACTCTGAGCAAGAAGAAAGGAAAGCACAGAAAATGGTCCTTCTCTCCATGATGCTTTGTCAGGGAAGTAAGTCTTCCTTGGAAGCCTCCACAGATTCCCCCCTGTGTCTCTGTCCACCCCTAGTTCTTCCACCAGCAGAGAAGAAGAAATTGCTGTGACTGATCAGTCATCGTTTGTTCCCAGGGGCTAGAGTGAGAGGCCTGCTTTCCTGGGCATGTTGCTGCCTCCCTGATACACAGAAGTCAGGTTCTGTTAGCAGGAAAAGGAAAGAAGCATGGTGGGAGGGTGAGGGGAGTGGAAATAACTGCTGCATAGATGACTAGATTCTGCGGCCGTCTGCCTGGCCTGGCCCTTCCTTGTCCTAGTGCTATCCCTTTGGGTGTGGAGAGCAGTGGCACTGCAGGAGTGGGAAGATGGCACAGGGACCAACTTGGTGACCACACTACACTCACTCAGTGCACGAAGAGATTACCTGTTTTCACCCCCTAGTAGAGCCACTCCTTAGGTCCCTGGCCTTATTTGATGAACTGCTTAGGAGCTTTATAGCCCTGAAATATAAGTGTATTTTGCTTGGTCACAGTTACACAGGTAGCAATTATGGGAAAAGTAAAGTATGAGAGGAAATCAGGAGGTAATGGTGGGGGAGGGAGGATGCCTAGGAGGGACCTTTAAAGCCACGTCGCCATCTCCCATCACTGCCTGCTCGTGGTGGTGAGGGTGATGTAGGGTTGCTGCTGCAGCCTGTGAAGTCTTGACAGGGCTGGATAACTCCTTCAGGGATGGAAAGTCGGGCCCGTAGAGAAGAAGCCCTTGCTAGAGTAATGGGCAGTAATTGACCAGTCCTTGGGCCCCAGGGGGGAAAACAGTGACCAGACGAAGGTTCCTGCTCTTCATCCTCTTTCCTCTGGGGGCCTTGGCCCTGCCTCTCATCTCAGGGGTGGGACCGTGGGAACCACTGTGGATGGCCTTCTTTCACAGGGAGTATAGCTGGTGTCCCAAGCAGAAACTCTGAATTCATTTCCCACAGAAAGATTATTGATACTCCAGTTCACTTCGTTTGGATAGTTGTGTTGTAATGGTGCAAGAATGCAGTAAGTTAATTCTATGTATGATCTTCTCTGTTCATCTGTCATCTTTAATGGAATTTATTTTCCTGCAAAAACAAGGCTCAGGTAACTGTTTTTGAGCTCCTAAAGCACGCTTGTACATCACCGTGTGACAGCCTTTCATTGTTATTTTGATCTTTCCTTAGGGAATTTGAGAGCAGCTTCTAGGATATGTGCTTTTTTCCACCTAAAATACATATTTGAATACATGTATAGGGAGGGTAAAACTCAGTGGTAGAGTATGTACCTAGTACGCACGAGGTCCTGGGTTCAATCTCCAAAATATATGTATAATATGGCATATAATACTCATTGTACCAGCAAACACTAAAGCCTTCTATAATGTTCTATAAATTAATTATAACTTAAAACATATATATAATTTAAAACATTCATTTCCTATTAAATAGGTTTAAGTCTAGTACAACGTTTAAGGCCTGATTTCAAACGGAAGTATTCTTCAATGTTTGAAGATGATACTGTGACAGAATACATTTACCACTGTAATGTCCAGACTCCGAGGTAAGAGTTATGATTCTAAATTTACTGTGTTTGTGTTTTAGATTTTTCTCTTTTGAGAATATGTGAATAGTCCAGGAGACTGTTACCAGTGTGTAAATGACTAAATTTAAAAGGACTGGTTAAATTACTAATACTTTTTAATTTACTCATCTATTCATGGAGTACCTACTGTGTAAACCATCATACTGGATTCTGATGGGAGATTAAAAAGCGAAACGTACTTTCCTTCCCTAAAGTGCCTGTGGATAAGTTGAGGGAAGTCTCAGTCTTGGGCATCTCGTGGAGGTGGTTGGAGTTGAGAGAGAAAAAAATTTCAAATTAAACAGTATTCCCAAACTGAGTATAGATGTTCTACAAAAAAAAGAGTTCTGGATGAAACAAAAGTAAATGGTTTTGTGTACCATGGATCTTCTTAGAGTCTGTTACTATGCCAAAGGGTTTTAAATCTCCCAAGTGCATGGGAGATACTGGGCAGCATTTTTTAAGTTCATTTGATGATCTCACCTGCCTTTTACTCAGCAACTGTTAAAAAATAGTCTGTGCATCAGCATGAGAAACACTGCTGCGGTGGTGAGGAGTACATGAGGGGAGAGGGGAGGGGGTTCGGCATGAATTTTGACAGTGATTAGGAGAGAGCATAGTGAGGGAGCAAGAGGGCCAAACAAAGGTATTTCTTACTTTAAAAAAAATGAGTTATGGATGTTGGGTACAAGGCACTAGTGGATAAAACAGCCTGGAAGTGGTGAGGAGCTCGGAGGAGCCAGAAAGACAAGCCCCTCAAGCTGGTAGGGAGAGGATCAGGAATGGAGCATGAAGATGGGGGCGCCAGGTCTCGTGTTGTGACTATACTGGAATTGCTGGAGGAGCCTGTCCACACTGTGACGCCTGAACCCTGTCTCTATGAGTCTGATTCAGCATTCTGGGCTGCATCTTTAACAAATGCTTCAGGTGATTTTGGTGTAGGTGGGCCGTAGGCACACTTTAAAACCTAGGAGTGGTACTGCATCCTTTCTAAAACTGAGACTTGAGTGAAGGCTGAGAGGTGAAATGCAGAGACAGCCTCCTTCACTTTTTTTTTTTGTTGTTGGCCTCTCTCACCTCTGGCAGAGAATATGTACATCTACGTTATTAAAAAGATTGAGGCCTTGGAAGCAACTGTGGTATAGCTGTAGCCTCAGTCTTTTTAATAAAGCAGGTTAGAGGTTCTCTGCCAAAGGTGGCGGAGGCTACAGAGTTTTGGGGTCCCCAAAGGGTTGAGTTTTATGACTCACCAGGCAGTCGGGTCTGGTGGGTTAGGTCTGCGCACTTTATTGACTTGTTCAACAGTTCTTAGTTGTCTGTCCCAGGTACCTCATCTGTTTTCCGGCATGGTCAGAGTGTTTTGTTCTTCACCTTCTCACATTTCATGACTACATGTTCCTGTGTGGTCCTAGTCTGTTGCCTTTCTTGTGGTGGAACTTGAATTCATAAAAGGCAATTCAGAATTACGCCTAAGACTGCAAGGAGAGCAGAAATGACAGCAAAATGGATCTGTCCTAGATTCTGTACTCTCATATAATGGTCAGTCAGATGCAGCCACAAGAGAAGACACAGGAGAGGCTCAAGAAAACAAAGTGTAGTATACTCACAGGTCCTAGAGAAGGGTCACCGAATGCCATGAAGGGTCACAGGGGACGCACCAGATTTGGCTCAGGTAGCAGAAGACAGGAGTGAAGGTGAAGTCCAGGCCAGAGCCTGTATTGGGTTCTGCAGGAAAGGTGAGGCAGCGCAGGGTGCACAACGTAGGACTGGCCCGTTGAATCATTTCTGTAGGCTTTAAGATGGGGGGTGGTTTCCAGGTGCCTGCACCTGGCCCAGGGATGATTAAGGCTGAGGAATACTGTCTCCTGGGCTGTGCAGGCGGCAGAAGAGGTGTGGCTCTGGATGGGTATCCAGACACTAGCCCCACAGGAAATGTAATAATTTAAGGATAGGGACTTAAGGTTGCATGTTTTGACTTGGGAGACAGTAACTTTTTTTTTTTAAAAGAGTTTTTTAGAGTTTAACGCTGCCTTTATCAAACAAAAGCATGTATATTCTGTGGGCTTTGTTCCTTGCATTTCTTAGAAGTCATTCTCTATTTAAGCTGCAGTTTTCCTTACACAGGAGAGAAGCTAAGTATGAGTGTGCTTTGATGGAGGTGGGAGTGTGATGCATACTCCTCCTGAGAAGCCAAATGTGTGATTTTTTTTCCCCTTCTCCTTTAAGTGGTGAGACTGCATTCAAAAATATGACCATCCCTTACGGCTGGGCAAAAAGGCCGATGCTCCAGCGGATTGGTAAGATGCATCCTGACATTCCAATTTCAGTGATCTATGGCGCCCGGTCCTGCATAGACGGCAACTCTGGCACCAGCATCCAGTCATTACGACCACAGTCATATGTAAAGACCACAGTAAGTGTGTGGCCCGTTTTTGGTTTTCAGTTGTAGTAGCTGAAGTCTGCTCTTTGCTTTCAGTGAGATTTCAGATCATCCCTGTGCTCTCACATCTGAGCTCTACCTGCATCCTTGATCTGCTATCACTTGGGATGGGGGCAGGGTTTGACCCACATAAGTCTTCATGTGCAGACAGTAAATCGTGGTTCTTAGGGACCTTGTCTGACTGTAGAGCCACAGCACCCCTGAGGTGGGAGAGACTGAAAGAAGGACAGATGCAGTAACACCTCGGCCAGCTCTCCCACCCGGGGCAGTACCATCTCATTCTGTGCAGTGTGTCTGTTGGCCCTGTCATTAGTGGTCAGTTTAGAATGGCATTTTTGCATATTAAAATTTTACTAGGGTTGACTAGATTTTCTCTTTATTCTCAGATTCTTTATATGCTGGAAATACATAATCGTTACTACAGATCAGTGTTGCTTATTCTTTGATGTTTTATTAATACATAGATGTTCTCACTTTCATTGCTAAGTGTCTTTACGTATATCATTGCGTTCTATCAAATGCTTTGACTCACTGACCCTCTGACCGCTTTTCCTCTCCTAGGCCATTCTTGGGGCGGGGCATTATGTGTATGCAGATCAACCAGAGGACTTCAACCAGAAAGTGAAGGAGATCTGTGACACTGTGGACTAAGCACACAGAAGGTGACGTGGGAACCCCCACGGCTGACACAGCTCCTCAGCAGTGATTGGTGGTCAGCAGGGAAGAGTAAGGAACACGAGAACCAGGCAGTCTTCTTGACTGTACTTTGCATGTTTTCTTTATGAAGTTGCTCGCAACTTTACACCAGTTAGTGCCTTCTAGAAGGATGACTTTCCTTTCTCCTACACAAAATCAGAATATACAGGAGTCTCCAAATCTACTAGCTTTAATAAAAGGTTATTTGTCCCTCTGCTATACTGAAAAATTTTAGTTTTTCAACTGAAATTTTTTTATTCCTATCTAACTTTGCTATGTCAGGTACTTTTTATATTATAGTCTATATTGCCAATTCTAAGAAGTAATTTCTGGGTTTATTATTTTATATACTTTTAAAGGTGCACTTTATTTTCTTTGCTTATATTTACCACGTCTGATAACTGATGCAGTTATTCAAAAGTCAATGTGTTTTCATGTAAAAATTTGTCACTTTCTTAGAACCCTTCGCTTCATTTTTGATTATGGAGTGACGAGACAGGGTTTTGTTTAAAAAGCTGGGAGCTGATCACTAGCATTGATTTTGCTGATTTTCCTCTGTTCTCTATTTAAGCCTTAAAGCCCTATTCAGCATTTTAAATATGATCCATCCTGACATAACTGCAACAGCCTAAGTCCTTGGAATCTTCTGTGTGTGGCACATTCTACACTTTCAGGGGAACAGAACATTCATACTTAAGTGATTCGAGTACTGAAAAGCCTTAACTGAAAGTCTGTTCTCTCCCCACCCTCCGCATTAATACTGTTTTTCTTTTCTATGAGCCAGGATGCAGCAGAAGGAACAGATTTCCTCACCGAGGGAATATTAAGACTGTTACTTTCCAGTAAGCTAAGTCATGTATTTCCATCTAACTCTGATACATGGGTGCTAAAACTGGATTACATTTTTACCACTAAAATATAATCATCATTGGTGCTGTTATTATGTCTCATGGCACCAGAAATCAGCTAGCACTTTTTTTTTAAAGAGTTTTGCATTGATTAAATAACTTACATACTTGAAGTTATAGTATAAAATTTCTATAAGGTTGATTGAACTGTGTGACAAGAACTACCATCAAGTGTAGCACTTCCTTGCTGTTTTAATACAAGGAAGACTTCTTTGAAACTGTGAAAAAGCTCCATGTGGTAACTGGCTGCTGAGAAGACCCTCTGCACAAAAAAATTGAATGAGATGGTCACCATCAAGGCACCTGGGCCTTATATTTTGCTAATGTTGCTCGTCTAGCAGAAAGGTGGTTATGTAAATAAAAAACAGTGAACTAGAGCAAATAATGACTTAATGGTTTTGATTGTTGGCATTTTTTAAATGATTAGTTAGGAAAGTTTTAGCTGTTAGGAAGTGTAAGGTTGTATCACTGTTGATTAACTGTGAGAAAGGCTGAATGTTCTGTTTTCAACATTATCTCCCCTACAGAAGAATAGGCAAATTATACTGAAGCAAGACAGATAGCTTCCCTCTGAGCAATTTGTCTCACTTGTTGGAGGAACTAGGTATCTCTACCTTGAGAACAAAAGTAGCCTTTACTTTTTAGTGTCTTAGATGGCCAGAGTCAAACCTATATGTTCTGCAAATAGTTTGAGTAATATTTTAGTATTTTTATTTGATACAATGTCCAGTCTCTTAATTCTCCTTTGCTGGGTGAATGACAATTTTCAATTGTGCAGGAGAGTTTCTGTGCAGGAAACTTGGTCCTGACCCTTGGAGGGAAGTTAACTGGCTTCCCTTAGTCAATGGGGCTTCTGGCCAGAGATATGCCAAGTGATTCAGTGAAAAGATGGACCCAGATGTCAAGTGGAACTTACTTTCCTATCGACTGATTTTGCTTTATTTGAAAAGCATTGTTATAATTCTCTTTGAAAGTCAAATTTTACCTTGAGCTATTATATATGTAATTTTGTGAAGATGAAGTTAGCACAGAAGGTCATAATCCTTGAACTCTTAAAAATACAATGAGTCTTAATATTGTCTTTTTTTTAAAGAATCTATTACGGTATTTGATCTTTGCTAAATTATGCACGGTGTGTTTTATTTTACATAATAGATTTACTGTGATAGTCACAATTAGAAGGAATATATTTTCTTGAGCCATAAGTATGGCCCTGTCTGTTTACACTAGTTATTATAGGACCACGGACCCAGTGAGTGGGCATTCTAAGAGAAGGCTGCTCTGCAGTGTTATGACCTCCATCTGTGGCTTTACCTGTATCCATCCACCCCCTAGTATGATTTCTGTTTTCTTCTAAAACTAATTTTTAAAATAACAGCAACAAAAACACAAACTCTAGTTTGCCTAGAATTTGTTTCAGAATATTATTTAGAAACACTTTTGAAATGTCTTCATTCATATACATATATATTTATATTTAAAGGACATAGTAGATTCCAATAAAACAAGGTTTTTTCCTGCATACAGGTATTGTGAAGAATAAACAATAATAGCCAGAGATCCCTAGTAAAGAGCCATGGGAAGGAGGGGTAACCCTACTAGATATTATAACATATTATATACAATTTAAAGAAAGTCCAGGAATTTAGTATATGATAAAGGAAGCATCTTTATTTATGAAAGAAAAGACTTTAAAAAGGGTGTTGAAACAAGTGTTGTTAACCATATGGAAAATAATAACATTGAATCCATTTCTCACACTATGCACAAGGATAAAATCTGAATGGATTAGAGACCCACTTGAAAAAACGAAACTTTCGTAGGTGAATTCCTTTATAATCTGAGAGTGGGGAAAACTTTCCTGTGCCTGAAAATCCAGAAGCAATAGGAGTTTATATCTTTAACTGAAAGTAAGAGTTTTGGATGGCCAGAAAAAGCGAAGTTAAAGAATAAATGATAAACTGGCAAAAATATTTGCAACATTTGTCACAAAGGGCTAATATATTGAAGAATTTCTAAACTTTGAGAAGAACCAGAAAGAATGGGCAAAAAGCTATGAACAGTTCACAGAAAATAAAATGCAGATGGCCCTTAAACATAAGAATTTGCATAATAAAAGAAATGCAAATGAAAAATACTGAGCTACCATTTCTTACCTGTCAGATCTGGAAAAGTCCAAGTTACACTGTGTACTCTGTTGGTGAGACAATAGGGCAACAGGCACTCTCAGGAGTACAAATTTCTGTGGATGGGATTTGTTAACAACTAGCAAAGTTAAATATGAGTTTATGCCTCAACCTTACAGTCTCACTTCTAAGAAATCTACCTAAGGTGTCCTCTTGAAAGTATAAGATGATGTCTGCACAAAGATCTTCACTACAGTACTATTTATAACAGCTGAAGAGTGGAAGCCACCCAGGTCTTCATCTAGAGGGGTTTGATGGGAGAAACTCAGGTATGTTTCACCGCTGAAAATAAAAAAAAAGAGAGAGCATCTCCAGGAGGGGAGAGGGAGAAGGCTTCAGAACTCCACGCACACTGAGACACGTCTCAGCTGGTCTCTACTCTTGTTTGTAGGGATTCTGTTGGTTGAATGCCTGAAAAGGGAGATGGGATGCCCTTCAGACTGTACCAGCTTAGCCAGCATTACTGACCACCTGTCGCAGGCTCTGGTGATAAAAACAGTCTTGAACTCCCAGCCCCCCTGCCACCACTCCCTCAAAGTGCTATCCTGGAATCCTCTCCAGAGCAGAGGAAGGGAAAGTGAAGACCAGGAAGTTTGGTGTGCTACCTATTGTGTAACAAAGAAGAAGACAAATGAAAAAACACATTTGCTTCTATTGGGGAAAAAAAAAGCAGTGGGGAATTAGTTACACCAGTAACTAATAAGTCAGTTCCCTTGTTGGTGGTTGTGGTCGGGAGCTAGGCAGAGATGGCATCTGAATCTGGATCTTGTTTTATAGTTCTGACAATGTTTTCTATAATTAAAAACAACCAACTCTTACAACCAAAACTTAACTCCCTATCAAGTTGGCGGTATAACCACACAGAAGAATTACTTAAAGTGACTTTAAAGCCCAGCATTTCGTCTGCACTTTGCTAACGGAATGTATCCTGTAAACTAAAGAACCACAATGGAATCTTAAACTGCATTCAGTATTTTTATTTCTAGCAATGATGTACTGTTGGTGTTGGTGTTGTACTTTGAAACTATGTATTTACATATGATAAAGTAAATACTTACTATGTCAAAGGAATTAAGAGCCAAGATTTTTAGTATGAGAGAACAAGAGATAAAAGAAAAAATTAAAAAAAAGATAAAATCCGGTAAACATCCTGTAATTGTATATTTCAATTGGAAATACCAGCAAAATACTGTGACTTATTTTATCCCCTAAAAAATGCATATTGTGTAGCTCTATCTGATTGCCTAGAAGCAGTCAGAGCCCAGTGGAAAGGCCCACTCTAGCACCAGGATTATCTCATTAAAATGGACCAGGAAAAGATGGGATGATGCTGGACCACTTTGTGTCTGAAAGCAAGAAAGCAGTCAGAGTAAGGTCATATCAGAAGGACCCAGGAGCCAACTCGAAGGGGCTCCCATAGGCCAAAGATGGAACAATTTGAGCATCAAAAAGAATAGCTATTGGCATGAAATATATAAAAATCCACGAGTTTTTAATGATAGCTTAAAAAAAAATACTAGTCATCTTTGGAGATTACTAGGGCACCAGCTTATTGTTTTGAAAATTGTTAACTGGAAAAATAAAGTTTTTATTGTGACATCTTTGCGTATTGGGTTAACCTGATAAGGGAAAGTTTTTCACTTAAGAATCACAGCTAAATGCCAGAGAATTGATAGGATTAGGAAAGCACCATTTTGTCACCTCTTGTGAAATAATGAATCTAGTCTTCTGAATGTATTGGCTGAAAAGTTGATGGAAACGTTTTATTGGACAGCTCGGGTTGATAAGAGCTGAACCCCAGTGGTCAACCTTAGCATTACTGAAAAAGAAACAACCAGAAGTCACCTGCCTCTGACATGTTGTAGCAGCGAGAACCCAGCACCACCTATGATGAATTATTGCCCCAAACAAACAAAACTGAACCTGAATGTAAGCAAGACTTTTACATCTAACAATCAGTTTATGAAAGCATGGGATACTGAGGAACAGGTTCAACAGCACACTTAATCCAGAATCTGGAAAAGTCCACGGGACACATAATCCACTTCAGCAAATGAAAGGTGTAAAATGAAGGTGATGGTGAGGGGACTTAAAGACTGGAGACACCTAAAGGACTTGTTGGATCCTGATTTGAACAAAACCACCTTACAAAGACATTTTTGGAAACAATTAGAGAAAAATTTAAGACAAATTGGATATCAGATGATATTAAAGAGTTATTAATTTCGTTAGGTGAAATAATAGTATAGTGACTTTTTTTTAAGCCCTTATTTATTAGAGATACATACTAAGTATTCATGGTTAAAGTTATAACTGGAATTTCCCTGAAAATATTCAGGGAAGAAACGGGCAGGGGCAGGAAATTGGTGAAATGAACAGAACGTTGTTACACTGAATTTGAGGGACAGACACATAGGATACATAGGGGCTTATACAGGGGCTGATTCTTCTGTTTCTTCTACTTTTATGCACACTTGAGAATTTCTGTAATAGAGAACTTTTGTTTATTTATTTGTTTTTTTAGGAATAAAGAAAGAGCAAAAAAGTGTGTAATAGCTGGAGGGGGAGCCTTAGATTAACTCAGCAGAAAGAGTGGGGAAGTGACGATGCAGGAGAGAATGGTGGGGATGAGGTATTACCAAGGCTAAGGGCAAGTAGGAACTCTCACATACTATTGGTGGGACTGTGAATAGGTATCACCCCTTTGACAGGTGATTCACAATATGTGGTAAAGTTATGTGTGCTCTGTACCACCTGACACAGCAGTTTTGTGTCCAGCTTTCAGTCCCACAAATAGGCCAGCACCAATGTACAAAGACATCTACAGGGTGTTCACTGTAACACGGCAATATTAAAAATCCGGAAGCCAGTGTATCATTAAATCCCAGGACATCTGTATGCTGGAATATGATGCAGCCTTAAAAATGAAGTGGGTCTCAGTATATACGTGTATCAGATCATCATGTTGTACACCTTAAACTTACTTACATGTCAGTAAAGTTGCAGTAAAGCTGGGGAAAATGAGGTAGGTCTGTCTGTAAGTGCCAATAGGGGAAATTTCCAAAATATCTTTAATGAAAAGAGTGAAGAAAAAACCCAGAATTCAGAATAGTATTTCATATGTATACATACACACATGTGCACGCACACACACACATTCACACACTCACAGATGTATACAGAATAGTGTGTGTCTCTGGAGTTATGTAAAGACATACCACATATTCATATATATAGACATTTTGGGGGAAGGTAGATACCTACATGAGTTTGTTAACAGTGGTTAGCTTTGAAGAGGGACAATTCATTATGTTGTAAATGCTTTTGTAAATTTTGGATCCTTGTGCATTCCTTTTGTTTTAATAAAAACTCTATAAAATATAGGAAAAAATCTTGATTACATGTGAAATAAGTAAAAAAAAATAACTAAAGGGACTTACTGGCTCTGTGTTCTGTGTGGATGTGCAGACACAGATTGAGGGAAGAAGGGATAGATGTTCAGAATGTGGAAGGCTGTAAGTCTCAGTGATTTAATGTTGAAAATTGAGCTATGACATTATGACCGGTCTTTGTTCTCTCTAAGATAGAAATACAATCCTGGCATGAATCTACCTTCTTCATCTGCCCTCTTTTGCTTAAACTTTTTGAAAGAGGGACCTGAACTAAAATACATATTTCTATCTGTTAAGCTCTTTCTCTGTCTCTTCCCATCTCATATGCACCCCCATATTTCTCCTGCTATTTCCTGTGAAAACTCTACTTAGACAAAAATTTTTAACATATATAATTAGAACTGAGTAGAAAATACCCATTTTCTGGCCGTAGCCTGGCTTTTAGGATCACTTAATTAGGTTAGGTCCCAAATTTGAAATTGAAAAACATTCTTGTCACATAGTTTACTAAATGAATGGGTAAGGAATTTTATTTCACCACATATTTTAATTCCTAAAAAATTTTCTCTATACTCACTTAAGTCTTAAGGGGTTTCCATTGAAGTGCCCATTAACTGAAAATTTATAATAATCTAAGCCTTTTTCCTTATTAAACATTGCATTCATTCTGAGAGAGGGGTCACTTAACTGACAGATGCAAGGGGTAAGGGTTCTAAATCAGGTTTGTCACATTGTCTCGGAGCACTTGTTAGAGAGACAATTATGAAAGGCTGAATGACTGGGCCCTATTTCCTATTTGGTAAAATTAGACATGTTAGTCACAATGACCAGGGCGGGAGTGCATTACACACATTTCCTGCCACGTTTGCTGTGTCCATTGTGAGTTGTTTCCTAGTTTTTAACCTATGAATGTGTTTATAATTGGGAGTTACAGCAATGGAAACAATTAAATGTTGAGACTAATATACCAGACAGGAATGACTGGTACTTCACCTTCCAGCGCCAGCCAGCTTGCTATATTTCTGCTGGTTTGTGAAAACCCCTACAGAGCTTCAATACACACCTATTCAAGACTTGAAAATGCTGCTTTCCATGGGGTGGGATGGGCATGGGGGTTCAGGGATATGGAGAGTAAAAGATGGCAGAGGAAGGCTTCCTCATGCTGACCTGCAGGAGACCCCTGAGGGCCAGCCGTCCCGTGATGTGTGATAGGGTATGTGTTGTAACATACCATAAAAGTTTTCAGTGATGATTATTAAGGAGGAACGCATCCCTTCTGTGCCTGGGAATGACTTCTCAGCTTCATGTGGCCCGTACCAAATGTGGGCAGCTGACACATCTTCCTTGGCAGCCAAATGCAGACACCACACCTTTAAGTGCAGCCTGGTTCAGCAAATGTCTGAACGTGAGGTCTGGACCAAGCCAACTTGCAGAGCAGCAAGGCTCAAACTCTGTGTGCATGAGTCCTTGAGGCTGCTTGTTACAAAGTGCAGAGTTGAGCCACACCCCCAGGAGATTCTCGTGCTGCCCATCTGTGGGTGGGGCCTAGGTGTCTACTTCCAATACATGTGACGTGGGAGTGTTGAGTTTTTGTTTGGTTTATCAGGTAATTAATTTGTTTGAACCCAAATCCAGTGCTTTGACAGCTTTAGAAATGCTGTCTCTTGGTGGCAAGTAAAATCTCAGTTCAGTTATTTTATCCTTAGCTATAGTCTGGCCCATACAGCCAGCCAGAAATTTGGGCAGAGGTTATGTCCAGACTTTGAGGCTCCCTTCTTGACTCTCCCTCTTGACTCCCCAGGGCTCCCCTCCGTCATTTTGCAGCGGTTGTACTTACCCTGAACGCTACCCTCTGGGTCTTGAAGCCAGAAAGACTGCTGGTCGTCTACCAGAGTTCTGGGCCAGAG